AATGATTGTATCTTGACTTCATATTTGATATTTTAATATGAGAATAAAAATAACAATTTAATCGACAATAAAAAGAGCTAAATATGAATGAATGAAAGGATGACAAATATTAAGCACATGTCAGATATTATCTCAAGAATCATATTATATATAAGATAAAGACGAATAATGTCTTTCATTGTTTTCAAATTTATAAAGAGTGCTAAAAAGTAGTGATAAAGGGAATACAACTTTTCATATCAAATAGATCAACAAAATAAATATTATGTAAAGAAAGAATGTGTACTTGTAACCAAAATATAAGTTTTAACGTTCACCAAAAATACAATAAGTAAGTATATGCATGCATTTGAGTCATCTCAACAATCACCTAAAACTCCATAAATCAACTTACTTTTGATTTTATTTAAAAAAACAGAGAAGATGTGATATAATAACTATGAGTACCTACACAAGAAGCAAACTTACAAAACAAAATAACAAGAAAAAAATCATAATAATAAATAAAATAGATAATTTTATTGTTTTTTTTTCGTACCATCCCATTTATACGGATCTTATACAAAATTTTAGCAATTGTCGATAATTACTACTACAAAATCTTATATAAGGAAATTTTGTTCTTCATTTGAAAATTGTCAAAAGTAAATGAAAATGTATTAAAACAAGAGTAAAAAATAAAGAAAAAAATATAAGATTAATATGATTAGTAAAACAAAAATCATTGTTACGATTTGACATAAATCATCCCTAAAAATGATTTATGGTGATAACAACCTCCTAAAGACGATTTATGATGATAACAACCTCCTTTTCCTATTATTTTTTTTTCACACACTCTATTTGTGGGTTGTAACTTTTCTACCAACATCAAATGAACAACAATTATACCACCTTTGAAAACCTTTACTAGTATGTGAGACTCTTCTTGTACTCTCTTATTGTTCTCCATTTCTTGTGTATTTATAGCATAGATTACTAGTTGTTGATGCACTAGAAGACCGCCGCATTGAACAATTATGTGAATTAGGGTTTTGAATCTTTTCTTTGTATGCATGTTCAACTTTGATGGGCTTGGCCCAATTTAAAATGGATATTTGAGTGTTTTATCCTACACTTCCAACTTTTTAAAAATTTTATTTTTAACCTTAGTAAATATTTTTTTTACTTTTTCCTTTCTATTTAAAGTAATCTTATATTTCTTTAACTCTCCACCTTCTTAACAAAATTTTTAAAACTGTCTTTTATTTATAATTTAATAACCATTTAATTTAATTTAAAAACCTAATATTATTCAATATTTTTTCATATTTTAATAATTATTAAAATATAATTTTTTTCATTTAAATTAAATTATTATTAAATTTTAAATTGAAAATAAAATTTTAAAAAAGTCATCGGATATTGGTATCCGATAATTATGTTATCGGATTTCCATTTCCGACACGAAAGTTTTTTAAAATTAGTTTTTTATTTATATTTTATTAATTATTTAATTTAATTTAAAAATTTAATATTATTTAATATTTAAATAACTATTAAAATATAATTTATATTATTATAATAATAATATTAAAAAAATTTAAATAAAAATAATAATAATTAAGAAATCTAAAATTTTGAAATTCTATTTTATTAATTTAATATTTTAATATAATTTAATATATTTATATATATTAAATTAGATTTTATATAATTATTTTAATTTTAATTGTTTTAATTTTAATTTTTGTAATATAATTATTATATGAAAAATTAAATTATTATTAAATTTTAAATAGAAAAAAACAAGTCATCGGATATTGTTATCAGATTTCCAATTCCCAACAAGGAAAGTTTTTAAAAATTTGTTTTTTATTTATACTTTATTAATTATTTAATTTAATATTGTATGGTAGGATATCTGAATTGACCGACTAGCAACCCAAACGATCACCAAGAATAAAATAACGAGTTATCATATGACCATTCCCGAATGGTCGTCCACCCGCTAGACAGAGCGATCGTTATATCATATTCAACGATCGGCTTGTAGCGATCGTCTGTTGATTAAACCAAATGCTCAACATTACCTCGTAGGGTCACGTCAACCCAGTCAAAGGTAAGAGTCAACAGACGTTCGGTCAATTTTAGTCAAAATGGACCTTTTAATCCTGATAAACTAAAGAATAAGCGGTTAGAAATATGTGGCCATGATGTCACAAATCGCGGAACCAACTAACCCAATATCAAGTACGACCAAGCGGTTGTATTTTCCAAGCAGTTAAGTTCTCCAACCAACCGGATTTTCAGGTAAACGGTTTATCTTACTACTAGGTTAAATATGAAAAACCAGAAGGAAAAAAGGTACGTTTTTCTGAATATCAGGAGAGGAGGAAAATATATTATTTCTTCTATTATTGGATTAAAAGAGTTCTATCATTCCCTTTTTTTGACTTGAGCGTCGGAGTGCCTTCGCAGGTACCCACTCCACTCTCCCTGAAGAGTTCTAGGCAGGAGGAACTTGGTAAAGATGTCAGCCAACTGTTCATCCGAGCGAACTGGAAGAAGATGTAGAAGATTCACTTGTATCTTTTCACGAACAACGTGGCAATCGAGCTCTATGTGCTTGGTCCTTTCGTGAAAGCTCTGATTATGAATTATGTGTCTTGCTGATTTATTGTCACAGTAGAGCGCAGGAGTCCCAGTTTCCTAAACTTAAAGGTCTTGTAGGAGATAATGGATCCACTGTATTTCGCATATAGTGGCTGCTAGAGCACGATACTCAACTTCGGTGGAGGATCTGGAAACAATGCTCTGCTTCTTGGATTTCCATGAGATGAGGGATGATCCAAGGAAGATGCAAAAACCTGTAGTAGACCTTCTAGTATTGGGACAGGTTGCCCAATCTAAATCACTGAAGGCCTTTAGGTGTATTGGAGAGTCAACTGCAAAAAATAATCCCTCCGAGGGCTTAGATTTTATGTACCTAATTAAGAATATGTTGTACAGCCCGATAATGATAGTTAGTAGGAGATTGCATAAACTGACTTAATAAATTAACAGAGAAACACAAATCAGGTCTAGTATTAGTGAGGTAGAGTAACTTCCCTATCAGTCTTCAATAGGAGCTAGGATCATCCAAGTGGTTGTCCACTTTATATAGTGAGCTTGTATCACTTAGAAAGGGGTAGAGCATGGTTTACATCCCAGCATCCCTATTTCCTCAAGGATGTCTAGAGCATATTTTCTTTGGCACAAATGAATCCCTTTCTTAGATCTAGCCACCTCCAAGCCTAGGAAGTATTTAAGTTCTCCCAGATTCTTTATATGGAATCTGTTATTCAAGAGACCCTTTATGTGATTGATTTCTACATAGACAAGTAAGGCTATAAAATCTGTAGATGCCTTTTTGATAAAAAGTGAGTGATCTTATTTGGATTGAATATAATTGATAGAAATCAGAAAAGAAGATAATTTTTCAAACCATTGTCTACTAGCTTGTTTTAGTCCATATAGAGACTTAGTAAGCCTATAAACCTGACCTTTTTCATGGACATTAAGACCAGGTGGTGGCTCCATGTAAACCTCTTCATTTAGACCAGGTGATGCATGAACCAATTATTTGAGGCTACAAGAGCAATAAGTAATCTAACAGTAGTGAGTTTGGCAATAGGGGAGAAGGTGTCCCAATAGTCTATCCTTTCTTGTTGGGTATAGCCTTCTACTACTAGGCGAGCCTTATATCTCTCTATAGTGCCATCAGCCTTGTATTTAGTCTTGTACACCCATCTACAACCAATTGGTGTTTTTCCCGGAGGTAGTTGTGTTAAATACCAGGTATTATTGTCCTGTAAGGCCTTGATCTCTCTTTGCATAGCTTCTGCCCGCTCACATAGGTTCTTGGCTTCATTATAAGAGTGAGGTTCATTACTCGCAACTATGGCCATAGTATACTTTAAGTGTTTCTCTGACAAAGAATCACAAGACAATAGATCAGAAATGTGATAAGGAGTTTTAAAATTGTTTTTCATAGATAAGGATTGATTAACCTGATGAACATAGTCGTTTAGATACCTTGGAGCCCTTCTAACCCTGTTAGATCTCCTGGAACTGGGATTTTCTTCACTATCAACAGTGTTATCATTGCTACTGCTGTCAATGGCAGTTTGTTGTGTCTGCCTTTGATCATTGGTGTCGGTTTGAACAAGTCTCCCATCATCAATAGAATTGTAGCTTCCTAGAAGATCATTAAGAAAGGTAGTTCTGTCTGCCTCTTTGTCATTGGTTTCTCTGCTGGTTTGCTGATTTTTGTAGGGAAATATGTCTTCATAAAAGACAACATTTCTACTTATGAAAAGTTCTCTAGTGTTGATGTCAAGCACAATGTAACATTTGACACCACTCTTGTAACTAAGGAAAATTCCCTTCCTAGCTCTTGGGTCAAGCTTATTTCTGCTGTTTTCAAGAGTGGAAGCAAAGCATAGGCAGCAAAAGGTTTTCAAATTCAAATAAGTGGGAGGAGTATTATAAACAAGGTCATGGGGAGTTTTGTTATTGAGAATGGGGGTAGGTAACCTATTTATTAAGTAAACTGCGTGACTGAGAGCATATGACCAATAGGCATTAGGCTTACTAGATTGAAAAAGAAGGCTACGGGTCACATTAAAGATATGTTGGTGTTTACGCTCCACAACAGAATTATGTTCAGGAGTTTCAACACAGCTCTTTTGATGGTTGATGCCATACAAATCATACAAGTTAACACAATTAAATTCAGGTCCATTATCTAACCTAATGGTTTTGACCATTTTATCAAACTGATTTTTAATTCTGATAATAAAATTCTACAGTAAATCTCTAGTTTGGCCCTTATTGTTCATTAAAAAAGCCCAAGTATGTCTGCTATAGTCATCAACTATAGTAAGAAAGTACTTATGGCCATGAATAGAAGAAATGGAAAGAGGACTCCATATATCATAGTGAATTATTTCAAAGCATTCAGTAGTCAAAGAAACACTTCAAGGAAAAGGCAATTTATGTTGTTTAGCATAGTGGCAAGTATCACAAATAATATCAGGGCTCATTTGCACATAAGGAAAACTTTCACATATTTGTTTAACAGTCTTGTGTCCAGGATGGCCTAACCAATAATGCCACAAATTTACATCAACTTGTTTATAAGAAAAAACAGACTTTGAAACAAAATCTTGGTTCGAATTGGAAAAAGCTTGTAGATAATAGAGACCTTTGTAAGGATTAGCACACTCAATCATCTTCAATGTAGAATTCTCCCTTATCTGAAAAACCTTAGAAGAAAAAGTTAGGCTGTAGTTTAAGTCTTTGATAAAACTTTGGACAGAAATAAGATTAAAGGAAAAATCAGGAATATATAGGACATTAAAAAGAATAAAATCTTTAGAGAATTGAATAGTCCCTGCATGTTCAGTAATGATGACAGAGTTACTTGGGAGTCTAAAAGAAATGGGCTTAATTTTATAAAAAATGCAAAGTTGTTTTTCTCATGGACCACATGATCAGTGGCCCTAGTGTCAATAATCGAAGAAAAGTTATCTTGTTTGCCTTCTGTGTTATTTCTCTGTATCTGGTTGATCTTATGAGTAGATTCATCAACCTTTTCTATCATTCTGAGAAGTTTATGCATCTGCTCTGGGGTAAAAGAGGTGAAGGCAACATTGGTGTTGCCTTGATGAGTGGCTTGAACACTATCTGAACCAAAACTGCTCTGGCAGACATTGGCTGAATTCCAGTCAACCTTTTTGTCTTGATTGCTGTCATTTTTCTTATACCAAGGTGGGTAACTGTGCTTGGAATAACACTCATCCACAATATGATTCATCTTGTTGCAGTAGGAACATTGTTTTCCATAGTTAGGATTCCTTCCTCTTCCTCTTCCTTGGCCACCCGATCCAGGTTCACGTCCTTGGTTTTTCCAAGTCTGGTCAGGTCTCCAATTGTTTTTTTTGTCAACAACATTGGCTAGAACTTTAGTCTCAGCAGTCTGGTTATGGTTGATAGTGCCAGAATCTGGTTTTTCTTGTCTTTCTTACTGCATTATGAGTGAGAAAACACGATTGATGTTGGGGAGGGGATCCATTAAGAGGATTTGAGTTCTCCCAGTGTTGCAGGTATCATTCAGCCCCTTTAAGAAACATATAACATGTTCTATTTCTCTATATTTCAGAGAAATCTTTGAGAGTTCACAATTACAAGGGATGTCACACGTACAATTGGGTATGGGTCTAAGGAATTCCAATTCTTCCCAAAGAATCTTTAAATCTGTGAAAAACTGGCTAACACTTCTTTCTCCCTGTTTGATAGAATGAATGTCTTGAAGTAAGTCAAAAATCTTAAAGTAGTCACCTTTAGAGAATCTTTCCTTCAATTCATCCCATAACTCTTTGGCTTCTTCAACATATATCACACTTTCTACAATCTGTGGAGAAAGTGTCTTTATAATCCAGGAAAGAACCATCATATTGCCTTTTTCCCATGCATCGAATAAAACCTCACTTCTTTGAGGTTTCTTGATTGACCCATCAATGAACTTTATCTTATTTTTGGAAAGAAGAGCTCTTCTCATGCTTCTGCTCCAAGAAGAGTAATTAGTCTCACTTAGGACTTGAGAGATGAGGGTAAGTCCTGGATTCTCCCCAGGATGTAGATAGAAAGGACTGGCAGGATTGGTGGANATGTGAGACTCTTCTTGTACTCTCTTATTGTTCTCCATTTCTTGTGTATTTATAGCATAGATTACTAGTTGTTGATGCACTAGAAGACCGCCGCATTGAACAATTATGTGAATTAGGGTTTTGAATCTTTTCTTTGTATGCATGTTCAACTTTGATGGGCTTGGCCCAATTTAAAATGGATATTTGAGTGTTTTATCCTACACTTCCAACTTTTTAAAAATTTTATTTTTAACCTTAGTAAATATTTTTTTTACTTTTTCCTTTCTATTTAAAGTAATCTTATATTTCTTTAACTCTCCACCTTCTTAACAAAATTTTTAAAACTGTCTTTTATTTATAATTTAATAACCATTTAATTTAATTTAAAAACCTAATATTATTCAATATTTTTTCATATTTTAATAATTATTAAAATATAATTTTTTTCATTTAAATTAAATTATTATTAAATTTTAAATTGAAAATAAAATTTTAAAAAAGTCATCGGATATTGGTATCCGATAATTATGTTATCGGATTTCCATTTCCGACACGAAAGTTTTTTAAAATTAGTTTTTTATTTATATTTTATTAATTATTTAATTTAATTTAAAAATTTAATATTATTTAATATTTAAATAACTATTAAAATATAATTTATATTATTATAATAATAATATTAAAAAAATTTAAATAAAAATAATAATAATTAAGAAATCTAAAATTTTGAAATTCTATTTTATTAATTTAATATTTTAATATAATTTAATATATTTATATATATTAAATTAGATTTTATATAATTATTTTAATTTTAATTGTTTTAATTTTAATTTTTGTAATATAATTATTATATGAAAAATTAAATTATTATTAAATTTTAAATAGAAAAAAACAAGTCATCGGATATTGTTATCAGATTTCCAATTCCCAACAAGGAAAGTTTTTAAAAATTTGTTTTTTATTTATACTTTATTAATTATTTAATTTAATATTGTATGGTAGGATATCTGAATTGACCGACTAGCAACCCAAACGATCACCAAGAATAAAATAACGAGTTATCATATGACCATTCCCGAATGGTCGTCCACCCGCTAGACAGAGCGATCGTTATATCATATTCAACGATCGGCTTGTAGCGATCGTCTGTTGATTAAACCAAATGCTCAACATTACCTCGTAGGGTCACGTCAACCCAGTCAAAGGTAAGAGTCAACAGACGTTCGGTCAATTTTAGTCAAAATGGACCTTTTAATCCTGATAAACTAAAGAATAAGCGGTTAGAAATATGTGGCCATGATGTCACAAATCGCGGAACCAACTAACCCAATATCAAGTACGACCAAGCGGTTGTATTTTCCAAGCAGTTAAGTTCTCCAACCAACCGGATTTTCAGGTAAACGGTTTATCTTACTACTAGGTTAAATATGAAAAACCAGAAGGAAAAAAGGTACGTTTTTCTGAATATCAGGAGAGGAGGAAAATATATTATTTCTTCTATTATTGGATTAAAAGAGTTCTATCATTCCCTTTTTTTGACTTGAGCGTCGGAGTGCCTTCGCAGGTACCCACTCCACTCTCCCTGAAGAGTTCTAGGCAGGAGGAACTTGGTAAAGATGTCAGCCAACTGTTCATCCGAGCGAACTGGAAGAAGATGTAGAAGATTCACTTGTATCTTTTCACGAACAACGTGGCAATCGAGCTCTATGTGCTTGGTCCTTTCGTGAAAGCTCTGATTATGAATTATGTGTCTTGCTGATTTATTGTCACAGTAGAGCGCAGGAGTCCCAGTTTCCTAAACTTAAAGGTCTTGTAGGAGATAATGGATCCACTGTATTTCGCATATAGTGGCTGCTAGAGCACGATACTCAACTTCGGTGGAGGATCTGGAAACAATGCTCTGCTTCTTGGATTTCCATGAGATGAGGGATGATCCAAGGAAGATGCAAAAACCTGTAGTAGACCTTCTAGTATTGGGACAGGTTGCCCAATCTAAATCACTGAAGGCCTTTAGGTGTATTGGAGAGTCAACTGCAAAAAATAATCCCTCCGAGGGCTTAGATTTTATGTACCTAATTAAGAATATGTTGTACAGCCCGATAATGATAGTTAGTAGGAGATTGCATAAACTGACTTAATAAATTAACAGAGAAACACAAATCAGGTCTAGTATTAGTGAGGTAGAGTAACTTCCCTATCAGTCTTCAATAGGAGCTAGGATCATCCAAGTGGTTGTCCACTTTATATAGTGAGCTTGTATCACTTAGAAAGGGGTAGAGCATGGTTTACATCCCAGCATCCCTATTTCCTCAAGGATGTCTAGAGCATATTTTCTTTGGCACAAATGAATCCCTTTCTTAGATCTAGCCACCTCCAAGCCTAGGAAGTATTTAAGTTCTCCCAGATTCTTTATATGGAATCTGTTATTCAAGAGACCCTTTATGTGATTGATTTCTACATAGACAAGTAAGGCTATAAAATCTGTAGATGCCTTTTTGATAAAAAGTGAGTGATCTTATTTGGATTGAATATAATTGATAGAAATCAGAAAAGAAGATAATTTTTCAAACCATTGTCTACTAGCTTGTTTTAGTCCATATAGAGACTTAGTAAGCCTATAAACCTGACCTTTTTCATGGACATTAAGACCAGGTGGTGGCTCCATGTAAACCTCTTCATTTAGACCAGGTGATGCATGAACCAATTATTTGAGGCTACAAGAGCAATAAGTAATCTAACAGTAGTGAGTTTGGCAATAGGGGAGAAGGTGTCCCAATAGTCTATCCTTTCTTGTTGGGTATAGCCTTCTACTACTAGGCGAGCCTTATATCTCTCTATAGTGCCATCAGCCTTGTATTTAGTCTTGTACACCCATCTACAACCAATTGGTGTTTTTCCCGGAGGTAGTTGTGTTAAATACCAGGTATTATTGTCCTGTAAGGCCTTGATCTCTCTTTGCATAGCTTCTGCCCGCTCACATAGGTTCTTGGCTTCATTATAAGAGTGAGGTTCATTACTCGCAACTATGGCCATAGTATACTTTAAGTGTTTCTCTGACAAAGAATCACAAGACAATAGATCAGAAATGTGATAAGGAGTTTTAAAATTGTTTTTCATAGATAAGGATTGATTAACCTGATGAACATAGTCGTTTAGATACCTTGGAGCCCTTCTAACCCTGTTAGATCTCCTGGAACTGGGATTTTCTTCACTATCAACAGTGTTATCATTGCTACTGCTGTCAATGGCAGTTTGTTGTGTCTGCCTTTGATCATTGGTGTCGGTTTGAACAAGTCTCCCATCATCAATAGAATTGTAGCTTCCTAGAAGATCATTAAGAAAGGTAGTTCTGTCTGCCTCTTTGTCATTGGTTTCTCTGCTGGTTTGCTGATTTTTGTAGGGAAATATGTCTTCATAAAAGACAACATTTCTACTTATGAAAAGTTCTCTAGTGTTGATGTCAAGCACAATGTAACATTTGACACCACTCTTGTAACTAAGGAAAATTCCCTTCCTAGCTCTTGGGTCAAGCTTATTTCTGCTGTTTTCAAGAGTGGAAGCAAAGCATAGGCAGCAAAAGGTTTTCAAATTCAAATAAGTGGGAGGAGTATTATAAACAAGGTCATGGGGAGTTTTGTTATTGAGAATGGGGGTAGGTAACCTATTTATTAAGTAAACTGCGTGACTGAGAGCATATGACCAATAGGCATTAGGCTTACTAGATTGAAAAAGAAGGCTACGGGTCACATTAAAGATATGTTGGTGTTTACGCTCCACAACAGAATTATGTTCAGGAGTTTCAACACAGCTCTTTTGATGGTTGATGCCATACAAATCATACAAGTTAACACAATTAAATTCAGGTCCATTATCTAACCTAATGGTTTTGACCATTTTATCAAACTGATTTTTAATTCTGATAATAAAATTCTACAGTAAATCTCTAGTTTGGCCCTTATTGTTCATTAAAAAAGCCCAAGTATGTCTGCTATAGTCATCAACTATAGTAAGAAAGTACTTATGGCCATGAATAGAAGAAATGGAAAGAGGACTCCATATATCATAGTGAATTATTTCAAAGCATTCAGTAGTCAAAGAAACACTTCAAGGAAAAGGCAATTTATGTTGTTTAGCATAGTGGCAAGTATCACAAATAATATCAGGGCTCATTTGCACATAAGGAAAACTTTCACATATTTGTTTAACAGTCTTGTGTCCAGGATGGCCTAACCAATAATGCCACAAATTTACATCAACTTGTTTATAAGAAAAAACAGACTTTGAAACAAAATCTTGGTTCGAATTGGAAAAAGCTTGTAGATAATAGAGACCTTTGTAAGGATTAGCACACTCAATCATCTTCAATGTAGAATTCTCCCTTATCTGAAAAACCTTAGAAGAAAAAGTTAGGCTGTAGTTTAAGTCTTTGATAAAACTTTGGACAGAAATAAGATTAAAGGAAAAATCAGGAATATATAGGACATTAAAAAGAATAAAATCTTTAGAGAATTGAATAGTCCCTGCATGTTCAGTAATGATGACAGAGTTACTTGGGAGTCTAAAAGAAATGGGCTTAATTTTATAAAAAATGCAAAGTTGTTTTTCTCATGGACCACATGATCAGTGGCCCTAGTGTCAATAATCGAAGAAAAGTTATCTTGTTTGCCTTCTGTGTTATTTCTCTGTATCTGGTTGATCTTATGAGTAGATTCATCAACCTTTTCTATCATTCTGAGAAGTTTATGCATCTGCTCTGGGGTAAAAGAGGTGAAGGCAACATTGGTGTTGCCTTGATGAGTGGCTTGAACACTATCTGAACCAAAACTGCTCTGGCAGACATTGGCTGAATTCCAGTCAACCTTTTTGTCTTGATTGCTGTCATTTTTCTTATACCAAGGTGGGTAACTGTGCTTGGAATAACACTCATCCACAATATGATTCATCTTGTTGCAGTAGGAACATTGTTTTCCATAGTTAGGATTCCTTCCTCTTCCTCTTCCTTGGCCACCCGATCCAGGTTCACGTCCTTGGTTTTTCCAAGTCTGGTCAGGTCTCCAATTGTTTTTTTTGTCAACAACATTGGCTAGAACTTTAGTCTCAGCAGTCTGGTTATGGTTGATAGTGCCAGAATCTGGTTTTTCTTGTCTTTCTTACTGCATTATGAGTGAGAAAACACGATTGATGTTGGGGAGGGGATCCATTAAGAGGATTTGAGTTCTCCCAGTGTTGCAGGTATCATTCAGCCCCTTTAAGAAACATATAACATGTTCTATTTCTCTATATTTCAGAGAAATCTTTGAGAGTTCACAATTACAAGGGATGTCACACGTACAATTGGGTATGGGTCTAAGGAATTCCAATTCTTCCCAAAGAATCTTTAAATCTGTGAAAAACTGGCTAACACTTCTTTCTCCCTGTTTGATAGAATGAATGTCTTGAAGTAAGTCAAAAATCTTAAAGTAGTCACCTTTAGAGAATCTTTCCTTCAATTCATCCCATAACTCTTTGGCTTCTTCAACATATATCACACTTTCTACAATCTGTGGAGAAAGTGTCTTTATAATCCAGGAAAGAACCATCATATTGCCTTTTTCCCATGCATCGAATAAAACCTCACTTCTTTGAGGTTTCTTGATTGACCCATCAATGAACTTTATCTTATTTTTGGAAAGAAGAGCTCTTCTCATGCTTCTGCTCCAAGAAGAGTAATTAGTCTCACTTAGGACTTGAGAGATGAGGGTAAGTCCTGGATTCTCCCCAGGATGTAGATAGAAAGGACTTGCAGGATTTGTGGATTGATCCATGTGATCCATTGCAGCAAAAAGCAAGAAGATACCAAGAAAGGAACCAAGAAACAATAGGAAAGAATACTAGGGCACGGAAGCAGACCAGGTATTAAACCTGCTCTGATACTATATTCGGTAACAAGGCCCAATAGCCTTTAAACGAGAGGCCCATCTCCTTGAGCCCGTGAGAGATAAAATTGCCTCAGTCTTTTCCAGAGAAGTCATCCTCTCCAGATGATAGAGAGAGAAAGAGCTCGAGGCTCTTCTGAAGTCTTAGAGAGAAGAGAAGGGAAGCTTCACTTGGAGCGCACAAGCATGGACGTTGGGAGAAGAAAAGAAGAAGATCAGCGGAGGGCCTTCAACAGAGGTAAGAAAAACACAATCTTTATTTATTCTCTGTAATATTATCTTCTCAATATTCTGTGTTACAACTGAAAATGAAAGGGGGAAACTCTATTTATAGAGTTCTCGGAGAAAAGGGGAAAACCATAAAACTAGAAAACCCTAACTAACTAATTAAACCTGATTACTGTATTAGGACAGTAATTCAACTGATTATCTTAGTCCCAATAATGCTTGACAAAGTCATCTCTGATTGTGACTATTGTGTCGTTGAAGAAGGGAGTGAAGGAGACACCACAAAGAGCATGCACCTACACAACTAGAAGAAACATATTTAAGAATCTAGGGGTTGAATTTGATCTAAAATTTTCATGTTTTGGTATAGAACTGGTTGAGAAAATTGGGTGCGAAACAATCTAATGTTCATACTATAAGGTTGTCTTTAAGATAGATCTATTATTGGTCAAATTTTCCATTAACAATATACTAATAATTGTGAATTCAATCTTCCATTAACAAAATACTAATAATTAATATTTATCTATAAAAAAAGTACTGTAAAGAAACCATATAATGTTCGTACTATTATAAGAATTAAATTGTTAAGCAATTTAATGTTAATTATGAGCTGCTGAACTTGCACAAAGAAGGAATTAGGAGTGCCACAATCAGTTTTGTCACATAATCACAGGACTAGAAAATAGAACTGAAGATCTATTTAACTCTTAGTCTAGAACAATTATTCGAAACACCTAATAACTTCTCAAACCTTTATTCTAATTTTGCGACTATATCCAGATAGCAGATCATGGAAACTATCCCACAGCACAACACCTCCATATTTAGGTGACCGAACAATGGGCAGCAATTGATTTATGAGAGCATGTGGTGGTACAAAACCAGTTCTAGCTGCTGCATGTGAAGCAGGAAGGCCAACGAAGAACTTGGCAGCATTAATTGATGTGGTCCACTGGCTCCATGCACTCTTAAATCCACTGGGGTCGTTTGAAGAAAACTCACATTGAGGATTGTTGTAGAACTGAACCCAAACATGGTCAAAGAGATCAGTAGAAAGTGCCCCATGGAGTAAGTTGTTTTGGAATTGACAGTGTGGTGAAGCGTTTAAGTATAACTTTTTGTTAGAAGTAGCATAATGGTCATGCAGCCTATAAGCAAGTGCAGCATAGTGAAGTTCTCCACCTTCAATGTCAAAATCTACCCCATCCATTATGGCTCTCCCAAAAGGCCTCTTCTTTGATTTTCCTCCCAAGAACTGATTCCATATGTAGTCTGCAACATTTCTAGCATCATCTTGGGATGACAGTGAGTAGTTCTTGCTGCCACCCCCAATTGAAAGCATAACCTTAGAATGAAACAGATTCAAAACCTCAAGGTATTTAGATATAATTTTATAGAAATCAGGATATATTTACACATTGCCTATGGTGGTCTTGGCAAGAATTTATCAGACATTAATGTGATCTAAGTAACATAAGAGACGTTGAAACGGTTAAGAAGTAGACTATAAGTCTAACTCCACTCACGAAACCGGGTAAGATTTACACTCACTCGTATATTTTAACCTAACTTAAACTACTTCTTAACCAAAACTTTAAAATTTTAAAACAAATTTGTTTAAATCTTTATTCAGCTTTTTTTATTTCTATTCATTACAAAATTTAGACTTCCATTTAAATTGAGTTTAGTTGGTTCTGTCACATACCTTAATGCCTCTCTTCTGACAGTACCTGATGTCTCTGCCAACCCTTTGGCAACCGTTTGATGAAGGAGAACAATGGCCTGCTAGGTTCATCAGAGGCTGACTTCCATTGCCAAAAGTTGAGAGGAATGCTATGTTCACAATGCGGAAAAGTCCAGTTTTGCATGTTCTTGACAAATTGCCTTCACCTGCATTTTGGCCCCAGTAAACCCCAAGGCTTCCTGCATCAGATTTTGAAAACCACAAGATCAGTGAAAACAAAAGGAAAAGACCCAAAGGGTGTGCACGTTTGCTCCTCATAGACACTTTGGTGTAGAGCTATGTATTGTTAATTGGTTGCCGAAGTCATTTGGCTGGTGCTTATATATGGTGGCCTGAAAGTTACTGAGAAAAACATGAGAAAGAGGAAGCATATATATCCCCACACTGACAAAGAAAGAAAGAGAAAGGCGTTGAAAAAATCAATGTGCGGTGGGGAAAGGGTACCATCACGCAGTATAATTTGATTTTAAAAATTTAAGAAAAAATTAGATACATACACCATTAACATACATCTTAATCTGTTTTTTATAATAAAATTATAATATTATAGTAAAATATTAATTTATTTAAATGTAGTGTCAGAGTATAAGGGAGTATTGGTATTGAAGATAACAATGCTCCCTGACAATTTAGTCAATTTTGTTAATACTTTCAAAAGAGAAAGAAAACGAAATTAGTGAATGACAATTTACTCCACTATGTGAATTCGTGTAAAAGAAAAAGAAAAAAAAATGTAATAAATGATCTTGTAAGAAAGCTTGATGAAGCTTTTCTTCCCTGTTAAAACTAGAGACAAAAATTGTGCTTCAATTATATTGCATTTGTAACGTGCTGATAATTAACTAATGTCATTTTGATAAATAAATTAATGTATTTTGATGAAAGTAGTAATGAAATAAAATAAATTCGAATTTATCAATACATTAAATAAAATAAATTTTTTTCTTTAAATTTTTGTGAAAATTAGAATTTTTTTTAACTTTTATCAAATTTAGTTATTCATGTAATATCTGGGAAAATAAAAGTTTTAAAAATAAAATAGTTTTGAGACTTTGGGTTATTGTTTGGAAACTAGTGTTATTGAGTATATATTTTGTTATAATATAATTGTTATGTTATTTCTTTATTTTTATATTTTTACTTATGGGTAAAATGGTCTTTTACATTTATTTAATTGGTATAGAAATTAATTAAGGAGCGGTTTGGTGTTTAGAAACCTTAGAAACTCAAGTCAAATAGAGAAAACAGATGAAGAGAGGAGGTTGGCGTTTTGGAAGAAGAAGAGAGAGAGAGCGACGGGAAATTCTTAGTGTAAAGGAAGATTGGTGATGTTTTAAGGTTGTAGATAAAGCCCTATGATTGGCCAAGAGATGGAGCTTACCTTTGTTTGTTTATGGTTGTATGTTATATGTGTTCTTGATTATCTTAATGGATAATCCTTGTTTTGACACATGTGTATATGATTATGATTATCTGTGGTTATTGTTGGGTAAGAGTTTATGTATGAATGAACATAGGGTTTATGTAATATTTGTGATGAGTTTTTCCTATGAATGTATTATGTATGTTTTGTTAGGGGAGAATAAAGCTATGATGCTTGGTGATTTCCATGCAAATATATGTAAGTGTTGGGTTATTGGATTATTGGGTTCCCTTCCTATGTGAAAAATAGGCCAAATAATGTGGATCATTATGTCTCACTTTGTTTTAGTGAAGATGGGTCAGATTAGTAAGACACATTAGAGTCATTTGAAGAGAGGGAAAAGCCAAGTGAGAGAGAAAGGAAGAGAAGAAGTTATTTTCGCATAACATAAAATCTGCACTGGTGTTTTCGCTGTTGTGAACTCGTTCACCGTTGGATCGAACTGACTTTTTGAAAGTCAGTTCTAGACATATGGTTCTTCATTCTAACCGTTCAGATCGTCAATCAGATGTCTAGTTTGGGAGAAAACATCCTTGCATTAAAAACTATATTTTGGAGAATTTCATAAAATATGCACTAGTGTTTTCGTAGTTGTGAAATCGTTCACCGTTGGATCAGACTTATTTTTGGAAGTGGGTTCTAAACTTATGGTTATTCATTTTAACCGTTCAGATCGTCAATCGAAGTTCTAATTTGGGAGAAAACGGCCTCACATCAGTAGTTTTATTTTGGAAAATTTTCATCTTCGTGGTTCTCATTTGTAAGCATTATGCATAGTTAGTTTGGCTTATTAAAAACCCTATTTGGTGTTTTTATCGGAGAATTTTTTGCACCCTATTATTAGGGGTATAACATGTCATTGATTGTATCTGGATGATTCAAGTGATGTATTATATGTGTTTGAGTATGTTTACATGAGTATATGTTTGAATGCATGTATGATGTGTTAACTATGTTTCCATATGAACTGGAGTTGATGTATGTATGTTTGAATTCTTGAATTATGTCCAAGAGGTGCTTCGATTCGGTAATAATCGATTATCATTACTTATAATCGATTATCTACGCGTTGGTTTTGAGTGTAGTTTCGGGAATAATCAATTATCTGAGATGATAATCGATTATCCCTTCATGCGTGATGTTTTTGGGTAAAATTCACTGAGATAATCGATTATCCCTTCATGCGTGATGTTTTTGAATAGGTGCTTCCTTTTACCTTATGTACATTGGAAGGAGATGATCTATAGGGGAGGCTACAAATATTTTGTAGGGGAGGCTACAGGTGGGTTGTAGGAGCGGCTATAGCCGGTGAGGTAGGGTACAAGAGTGAGATGGACTCTTTCCACTATGGTATTAAGGTACGGTGATGCTCATGGTGTTGTTCATGACTGGGATAGTCATGATGGTGGTGTATCTACGATGATAATCATGGTACTTGAGATGCTCTAGGTTATGTTATGTTGATAGTGGTGTAACTATAATGCTTATAGTAAGTAGCTAGCATGTGTGCTAATGAGTGGATAAACCAAGGGACTATGTGTGAGATGTTAGGGATGACATTAAAGATCAAGTATCGATGATCGAAGTTCAAGGATCGTAGATCGAAGATCGAGTAATTCAGAATGATTGAATTGTTTATGTTAGAGGATTAGGAATCTTATTGTCATTACTACTATGTATGGAGTGTTTGATTATGGTTGATATAATCATGATGGAGAAATAATTTTGGGATCTATTTAAAGTTATTTTGTTTTATAAGTTAAGACAATAAAATAGTAGTATTTTCTTTGTTATTTTATTACTCGAAAATAATGTATTTTCTTTAAGTAATTATGGTTGATATAATTAGAAGGTGTGTATCTTGTTGTGTTCGATTATGGTTGGTATAATCAGAAGATATGTATTTTGTTGTGTGGTTGATTATGGTTTATATAATTTGTATGTATGTATCTTGTTGTTATAATTGTTTTATCGATAACTTACCTCATACATGTTTGTGTTTATGTGTGAACGAAATTATAGGCGATGATTGTACAATGTGTTATGCGTGAGAGATAATGTTACAGATGTTTTAGAGGTGTTATTGACTCGAGAGAGATATTTTACAAGTTAAGAAAATATATTGGAGTATTTTCTTTGTTATTTTATTACTTGAAACAATGTAATTGGACAAGGTTTTCTTTAAGTACGATTTTGCGCTATGATAAGTTTTGAATTTTACCGATTTTTAATAACCCGTAACATCTCAAAAATCAGAGTGTTACACTTCAACTTAAAAAAAGTGTGCATTTATATCTTTTAGTTAAATTTTATTACATTTAAAGATTTCAAACGCATTTTATGATAGTATTTAAGTTTTTTACATTGTTTGACACATTTTTTTATTAATATTACTTGAAAAATGTGTTTGAAACCTCAAATAAATTAAACAAAATTTAATTAAAATGATTAAATTTACGAGTTCTAAATATTAGTCATATGCCACGAGCATGCAATATCTAGATACCATGACAAGAGTTTTTGTTAGATTGAAGATACCTACAAAATATTTGTCACATATATTGCAAATTGTTTCTGTGTTTATACAACTTGTCAGAAAGAAAATACAACATTTCTATAAAATATAATACAAGTACTGTAAAATAAAATCAATTAGTTCTACAGCAAGTATTTTGAAGAGTATAACATCATAGTTATAAAGAATATAAAATTGATTACTGCCATATATGTGATATACTATTGAATTACTTATTTTTATTTAAAGTAAAAAATTATTTATAATAAAATCTTTGAATGATATATAACATAGTGACATAATAAATTTATTTAAAATACTAAAGTTAGTTAAATTACAATTTCAATAAATGTTTTATTCCAACAATTGGTTTCAATAATAGTATCTTAATGATAATGTGTTTCCAATTTACATAACTAACTTTTGTATAGATATATCTAGAAATGAATATTTAAATGTTTTAAAATTATATCATATTCTAAATTTAAGTGATGAAAGAAAAACTAAATAATTTTAAAAGTTTATTAAACTTTTATGTATAATTTAATTCATAAGATTAAAAAATTTAACGGTACAATGAATTAAATTTAAATTTTACAAAAGTTATTAAAGATGTAGTTTGACTAATTTTTTTGTTATTATATATATAGTAAAATTATTAATTTATAAATTATAGTGTTAGGCTTAATCACGACCATTTATCACTGGACTTTTAACAGGGAAAGCCTCTGACGGCCCAATAACAAATCCTTGATATCACTTTTCCATGTTTTGACTGGACTAAAACTTTACGCCTTGTTTTCTTGCACCTACAGAATTTCTAGATACAACCTCTTAAATTTTAAAATGGCTATTTGACCTTTTGTAAGAGTGGCTTCCAGATTATCTGTTTAAACTTTTGGAACAGAATTTTAGAATAAACTTTCTGAACGAAAATTTCAAAATAAGCACTTTGAAATATATAAAATGATTCTAGAAAAATTTCTGGAATAAAATTTTTAGACTAAACTTTTCATAATATATATATATATATATATATATATATATATATATATATATATATATATATATATATATATATATATGGATTTGCTAACTTGCATATGCTCTTTTTTTAGTTGGTATATTTTAGCAATGTGTATCGAGTTTTAGTAGGCAAAAATACTCTCAAATAATTTTTATTCTTAAAACTAAAAAAAACAAGAAACTCCCAAATCCTTACTCACCTTCCTCATTCCTCTCAACCCTTTTCTCTTTAATCTCTCTCACTCTAACCTTTTCTCTGTCATCCCTACTGTAGTCCCAACTGAAAAAATCAAAAATAATCGTCTAACTCTAATTCACATTCCTCACTTATCCAATTTGTTTCTCTCTCATCTTCGTACTTTCTCTCACCCACAAACAGCAACCCACGACACCGCAAT